CTAATTAACAATTAGTGTGTAACCCGTCAAAATTATGACGATATTTTTCTGAAAGGATTTAGGCAAGCATCCTTATTCAAGATGATTCTCATGCTGCTTGGTGTAAGATACGACACAAGCTGAATGGAGGATCTCTCTTAGGTATGGCAATAATTTTGGTTTTTGGAAAATTGATGACATTATATTTGAAAGCCAGAATTTCACTTCAGAAAAAGTGATGGTTAGCAGCATGAAAGTTAATAAAGTAGTGATCTTTGATGCTTGACTTGTGTCAAGCGATTTTGAGGGAAGTCCACGTTGACACCTTTTTTTATTAACAATATTTTGCTTTCATTGTTGTAACACTATAATGAGGACTTGAAAGAAGCTGCAAATGGTGTTAGGCAGCGCATTGAAATAGTTTTCATATGAGTCTGGGTTTTCTAGTTGACTGATATTTTTTTGAATTTCAGAATATGAGGATAAAACTTCTCTTCCTAATTTTTCACCCATCTTCGAAGCCTTTTCCGAAGTTACTACGAAAGTTCTTTCCTTCATTGCTTCATCTTTTCCCATTTTCAATACTATTCTAACAATTAACTTGCTTGGGAGATTTGTCGTTTCGATTTTCGGTGAGTTTTGGTTTGCTTTATTAAGAATGGTTAGTGTTGGAGTTATCAGTGCGAGGAGTCCTTCTTGCAGATTTAGATCGCTTGACTCTGTTACTGATATTAATCATTTTCTGATATCCCTTAGAGCATCACTTGTATCATCGCAATGCTTCCCACGTTCAGTACATGATACAGTTTTTTGGTCTTTACCCAATCTTTCGTAAAAGTGCTCACCCTCTTGTTGGAAACATTCTGAGCAGATGTAATACGCATGAGAACTTGTGAATGATTTTTGTGCAATGGATCCCTCAGTAAACGCGGAACAATCAAAAGCACTGACACATGGCACTTGAATGTTGCGTCCATTGATGTTCTATGAATGCGTCTCACAACAGTCTTCATGGCTACCCTGTAAAAAAAAATAAAAGACAAAAATCAGGAAAAAATCTGGTTTTTTAGTTCCGGAAAATCACAGGTTTTG